AAAAATTAAAAAAAAAAAAAAAATTAAAAAAAAAAAAATAAACAAAAAAAGAGCATTTCCATTAGAGGCTAAGATGCCTGCATCCCGCCTCCTGGCCCTGGTTCCCGACGACTTCCTGCTAATGCACTGAGAGGCAGCAGGTGATGTCTAAGTACTTGGGTCCCTGCCACCCACGTGGGAGGCCTGGACTGAGCTCTAGGCTCCCGTTTCAGCCCCCATCTCACATCCGTTGGAAGCATCTCATGAGTGAACCAGCCACAAGAGCTGCGTTGGTCTCAGAAACTTTTTTTTTTTTTTGACAGGCAGAGTTAGACAATGAGAGAGAGAGACAGAGAGAAAGGTCTTCCTTCCGTTGGTTCACCCCCCAAATGGCCGCTATGGCCGGCACTGCGCCGATCCGAAGCCAGGAGCCAGGTGCTTCCTCCTGGTCTCCCATGGGGTGCAGGGCCCAAGCACTTGGGTCTTCCCAGGCCACAGCAGAGAGCTGGACTGGAAGAGGAGCAACCGGGACAGAATCCGGCACCCCAACTGAGACTAGAACCCGGGGTGCCGGTGCTGCAGGCGGAGGATTAACCTGGTGAGCCGCGGAGCCGCCTCAGAAACAAATTAAAGATTCCACCAATCTAAGATGTGTCAGGTCAGCATTGCAGTAACATTTCTTTTCCACCTAGCCACTGGCACACATTAGGTAGTGACTCCCGGAGTTCAGATACTGGAGGTCCTACAAGATGAACCATCTGCAGAACAAGACTGTAGACAAGACTTTGTATCATGAAACAATGGCCTATACAACTTACTAGCCCAGGCCAGTGTGGTGGTGTAGTGGATAAAGCTCCGCCTGCAATGCTGGCATCCCACGTGGTCACTGGTTGGAGTCCTGGCTGCTCAGCTTCCAATCCAGCTCCTTGCTAGTGGCCTGGGAAAAGCAGGGAAGATGGCCCAGGTGCCTGGGCTCCTGCCACCCGTGCGGGAGACCTTAAGGAAGCTCCTGGCTCCTGGCTTCCGCAGTTGGGCCATCTCCGGGATGAACCTCTCTCTCCCTCTGAGACTCTGCCATTTAAATAAATAAATCTTAAAGAAAAACCTAGCAGCCCACTAGTTACACGTTTTATATTGTGCAGGTTGTTTAAAATGCTCAAAAATTCAGCATCAAGACCAGGCAAACAAAAATTCGGTGATAACACAATTGTCCTTACACAAGCAAATCTTATGGGACTATAGGTACATCTGCTTTTGCGGTAGATACTCCTTTTTTAAGTATACCGAACGCAGGTCTTAAAGTCATACATCCATCTATTCTGGAAAACTAATCATCAAAACAATTCACATCTAAGTAACACGATACAGTTGAAGGGAAGCTAACGACTAAAAGGCAAAACGTGCACCAAGTGAAAACCGTAAGCTGACTACATGCAAGTCAGAGGTGCCCTCCGCTTTCCTCCAAGCCTGGATGTTCCCATCAGCACATCCTGTGTTATTGCCTTTACAACGAACCGCTCAGAATAGTGCACCAACATCCTTAGGAAGCCCTAATAATATGCCAGTTTTGATTACAAACACGTTTTTAATAAACCGTAATCACCCACGAAGAGTGGAGAAATGGCCCTTAGACCCGTGGACAAACATCGCGTGCGGTAGAGACCCGCGGTCTCAGCTCCCAGCTGCGGATGCTGCTTCCCGGGATCCTGGATAGGCAGGCAGCAACATGAGGTGGTGCTCCGGCACCGGGCCAGAACACACAGCACCGCGCAGGGACTGCTCTGCCACGGAGCAGGAAACCTAGGCTTGCAGCGCCGGCATCTCCTAGCGGAGTCAGTCCTGGCTGCTCTGCTTGCGAGTCCAGCTCCCTGCTAATGCGCCTGGGAAGCCGATGGCCCACGTGTTGCCCCTGCCACCCATGTGGAAGCCCAAAGTGGTTTCCTGGCTGCAGGCTTCAACATGGCGGTGATGGCTGCTGCAGCTACGTGGGGAGTGACCCTGTGAGGATCTCCGCCTTTCAAATCAATCTTAATAAAGAGATGCACAGTGCCCGGAGTGGGTTCAGCCTGGTGGTGAAGACGCCCCTGAGGATGCCCGAACTGAAGTGCTTGGTTCAATTCCCTGCTCCAGCTCCTGATTCCAACTTCCTGCTAATGCAGACCCCGGAGGAGGCGGATGGCTCGGGCAGTCAAGTCCCCGCCACCCACACAGATCTGGCTTGCAATAACCTGACTCCTGGCTTTCAGGCATTCGGGGAGAACCAACAGGTAGGAGCTGTCTGCTTAAGTAAAACTTTTAGTCTTTAATAAGAGCGGGTCAGCACTGTGGCATAGTGGGCAAAGGTGCCGGCATCTCATATGGGCACTGGTTTGGTCCTCTTCTGTTCCAGCTCTCTGCTATGGCCTGGGAAAGCAGCAGAAGATGGCCCAAGAGCTTGGGCCCCTGCACCCACGTGGAGACATGGAAGCAGCTCCTGGCTGTGGATTGGCGAAGCTTCAGCCACTGCAGCCACTTGGGAGAGTGAACCAGCAGATGGAAGACCTCTCTGTCTCTCCCTCTCTCTGTCTGCAATTCTACTTCTAAATAAATCTTTAAAACTGAAAAAATTTAAAAAGGACACACAGAACCTCCACTCTACTTTGCATGAGGTTTTCCCGACTCCAACATGTGACTGCTCACTGCCACCACCGCTGAACCAGGTTCAGCTTTTGGCCCAATTTCATTCTCATCGGCCCTGGAGCGGAAGAGGAACTGCAGAGTGTGAGGCTGGGACCTACAGTCGTCGTGTGCAAGGACTGGTGTCAGAACACCAGACGGCATGTCTGAAGACAAATTTCTGGATGGCGGCACATTTCTTTGTAAGTTATGGTTTTTGATTTTCAATTGCCACAAAATATTTTCTAACAAGAGTCAAGTGTAATACAATTCTCTTTATTAAAAATAATTTACAGCATCAGTAACATATACACAATTGTCATCAACTGGACTTTGCCTCCAATATATTTCTATACAATACTTAACATTATTGAACTTACAACTGTTACACTGTTTTGTTGGCTTTAAATAATAGACAATGATTTATAGTTACTTCAGTGAAATACATGGTCTCGTAGCCACATATTATGTGTAAAACTGATAGAAACATCGGCACTATTGTCCATCGGGGGAAACCCATGGAAAACGCTGTCACGTCCACCCCCTTCCCCTTTCGTTACTCCAAACCAAACTGAGGGTCAACAGCCAGGATTTTAGTATCTTCTAAATCTACAGGCAGAAGAAAGGGTCTTTTAATTCAACCCTAGAAAAATGTCAGTCAAGTAACTTTTCTCGCGTCACTCATCACAGAGAAAGTGGACACAACCACCTCATTACAGTACGTGCCAACAGCCGCAACTCCGAGGTTTCAGCCGCACCTGCTTTGTTTTGGTACACCTGCTGTCCGAGTACCAATGGGAACACTGAGCGATCTGACAGGCTTCTGACAGCTCTCATTCAAGTGTCAGCAGATGACAGAGCCGGACAGGGCCACTGCCATCGTGGGAACCTCTGAGGGATAATGGCAACTCAGGGGCAGGATGACACTGTCGCTGACTTCACCTCTCAGGAGCAGCAAAACCAAACCAAGTGTGTAGCACAGTGCTGCTTACAAGACAACCTGCTGCTGTTGGTAATGACTCTGAAACTGAACTTCAAGTTCACAACACGGACCTGCTTCTCCTGTGCGCTTCTCCACTCCCTTTTGTAATACAGAATTACCCAGATGCAGTCACAGAGGAGGTAAGTAAAACAGTAAAAACCAGCAGATGCCACATCTCTGTAACCACAGCATTTGGCTAGAGGCAGAATTAGCAGGTACACACAGCTACGACTCTCCCCAACTTATAACCATGCTATTGAAGCTCTTGCTCCAACGTATACAAGCAGCTGATTAAGGGAACTGTGGTTTTGTTCCCGAAACACACGATTTGCTTGTATCACCACTGGACCAGCAGGCCTGGAGACGCCGACGTCTCCTTCACAGGCGGCCAGCGTCCCTCTCCCCGGGCTCAGCCATGATGACCAGCCCGTGCCTCTGCCTACAGACTGTATGTCGAGTGTGCCTTCCACAGACCCCACCCACCCACCTAATGTGGAATGACCAGTTTTTCAAAGCATGTAACAGGTATCTAACATTTAACTTGTCAATTCTCCACCCCAACTCCTGTTTTCACGTAAGCCAAACATACATGCACTGAGAGACACAGTAAATATGCAGAACAAAGCATGACTTCAAAGTACCAAAGAAAACACAAACATTTTACAGAAGGGAAACTGTCTTGATAAACTCATCCATCTTCCTGTTTAAATACATATTTGCAAAATACTCTCAGACACCATGATTGACTTTGTGCGTGGTTCTCAGTGGTCGCTGCCCACTGGCTGTGGTTCCAGCATCTTTAGCTTGTAGCACTTCTTCACTCTGAGCAGCGTGAGCTGACTGGGAACTGCACGGATGTAACTGCTTTCTATGTAAATCTTCACATACAGGAAAAATCACTACGACCCTGCACCTACTAAGCACGGCATCTTCTGGAGTTAACTGCCCACGCTTCTGCCAGATGGCGCGGCCCGCCTGCCGTGGTGGGCAGACTCGCGTGTCGGGAATACACGGCACTCGGCCACAACTGAAGTGTCTCGCCCTTACAGTCAGCTTGGATCACACCAGTAATGTAACAGAAATGAACAGAAACCACGCAACCTAGGCAAACAATGATTTCAAACCAACTTAAATAATTAAGAAACAGCAATACTTAAAAATGCCTACAGCTGAGCATCCATGTCCTTTAGGGTGAGTCACTTAAGAGTCTAGAGGGAACCAGCACAGAGCTTAATGGTTCAAGTTCTCTTTAGCAACTGAAAAACAAGTATGGAATTTCAGTTAGCAGTACCTAACTAGGTCACGGGGAGTTACAGCATCACAGAAAGTGAGCAAAAGAATCAAATCAAGTGGCGCGGCTCGCCAGAGGGCGTGCCCTGGGGGAGGCTCACCCGCGTGGTCGCTGCGCAGGGCCGAGCGGTCGGCTCTGTTCCGCTGCAGTCCCTCTCCACGGAGGACCTTGGCTGGGGTGGACAGAATGACTGCAACCTGGGGCAAGGTCATCCCTTGAATCTACGATAAACCTGGCTCATTCACAAACTAAGAATGCCAACTGTGTCCAGCGCAATGCTAGAAGGGAATTAATACACTTAACAGTCCTTTATAGGTCAGATACCAACTTCCACAGTTTCAGAGTCTAACCTCCTTCTATTCCAATGTGCTGATCTTAAACCAACAAACAGTAGCAGAGTTCACAGGAGCAAAGCTGAGCAGACAACTCCAGGTCACTCATACAGAAATCTTCAAGTTCAAACTCTGCCTTTATTTACAAATGGTCTGATAAAACACACCCCTCCCCATACTTACAGGTCTCTTCCACAACACACTTCACACGCTGATTTTAGCAATGTTAATAGCACCATTCAGATATGATTTAAAATCAAGAAGACTTCATTCAGTCCCTACGATGATTCGTAATCACTACATCCGTGGACGATAACTGAGTGCGCGGGGGCCACCAGCACCTCCGCGGCGGCGCCCGGCGCAGCGCAGGGCTCTCCAGCGCCACGCAGCAGTCTCTCCCCGATGGGCGGATACTATGAGAATTTTCGTGCCACGAAGTTCAATAAGCCTCCATGCTTGTACAATGTGACCTCCACATCATTTTCAAATGCAGCAATCATGTTGAATACTTTTCCAGAACTTGTCTTAAAAAAAAAAAAAAAAAGGAAGTGAGTGCTAAACCCTCAGTGCTACCTGTGCTCGGGCCGTCTGTTCTCACGGTCAGTGACTACACCTGCCACCTATGCTGTCTACCTGTGCTCGGGCTGTCTGTTCTCACAGTCACTGACTACACCTGCCGCCTATGCTGTCTACCTGTGCTCGGGCTGTCTGTTCTCACGGTCAGTGACTACACCTGCCACCTATGCTGTCTACCTGTTCTCGGGCTGTCTGTTCTCACAGTCACTGACTACACCTGCCGCCTATGCTGTCTACCTGTGCTCGGGCCGTCTGTTCTCACGGTCACTGACTACACCTGCCGCCTATGCTGTCTACCTGTGCTCGGGCCGTCTGTTCTCACGGTCAGTGACTACACCTGCCGCCTATGCTGTCTACCTGTGCTTGGGGCCGTCTGTTCTCACGGTCAGTGACTACACCTGCCGCCTATGCTGTCTACCTGTTCTCGGGCTGTCTGTTCTCACAGTCACTGACTACACCTGCCGCCTATGCTGTCTACCTGTGCTCGGGCCGTCTGTTCTCACGGTCAGTGACTACACCTGCCGCCTATGCTGTCTACCTGTTCTCGGGCCGTCTGTTCTCACGGTCAGTGACTACACCTGCCGCCTATGCTGTCTACCTGTGCTTGGGGCCGTCTGTTCTCACGGTCAGTGACTATACCTGCTGCCTATGCTGTCTACCTGTGCTCGGGCTGTCTGTTCTCACGGTCACTGACTACACCTGCCGCCTATGCTGTCTACCTGTGCTCAGGCCATCTGTTCTCACGGTCAGTGACTACACCTGCCGCCTATGCTGTCTACCTGTGCTCGGGCCGTCTGTTCTCACGGTCAGTGACTACACCTGCCGCCTATGCTGTCTACCTGTGCTCGGGCCGTCTGTTCTCACGGTCAGTGACTACACCTGCCGCCTATGCTGTCTACCTGTGCTCGGGCCATCTGTTCTCATGGTCACTGACTACACCTGCCGCCTATGCTGTCTATTTTTCCTGGTTCTAATTCCAGACATTCTGCTCTGGAAACCCTTCTGCTATTTGGAAAACACTGAGATATACCTGACTCTGGGCTTCGTAGCTAAGTAGAAAAACAGAATCTTCATTCCTGATTCTAAATCACAAATGGCACACTGCGATAACCATAAATCAAGGGCTTTGGGCTGACTGCTATTTGGGGACATTACTCTATGTCCCTGATCTCACACCAACTCTGCCACTCTCCCTGAGTGGTAAAGCCACCCTCTCACCCCAAGCGCTCAGCCTGCTCTGCCTTCTACGTGAGTAGAGCACACGCCTGTGTTAAAGTTAGATCAGCACAGAGAGCCAAAAATCACAAAGCAGACGCTGACACAGGAGGCTAGGGTACTCCCCTCCATGTCTTCCTTGTTGCAGTGAGCATTCCATGTCCTCTGCTCCCAGAACATGACCCGCATGAACACGGGTGCAGGGTGCAGGACACGGCGCCGCCTCACACCACGCGACATGAACACAGGTGCAGGGTGCAGGACCCAGCGCCGCCTCACACCGCGTAACATGAACACAGGTGCAGGGTGCAGGACACAGCACTGCCTCACACCGCATAACATGAACACAGGTGCAGGGTGCAGGACACAGCACTGCCTCACACCGCGTAACATGAACACAGGTGCAGGGTGCAGGACACAGCACCATTTCACACCGCGCGGTGTGAACACGGATGCAGGGTGCAGGACACAGCGCCGCCTCACACCACGCAACGTGAACATGGGTGCAGGGTGCAGGACACAGCGCCACCTCACACCGCGCGACGTGAACACGGGTGCAGGGTGCAGGACACAGCGCCACCTCACACCGCGCGACGTGAACACAGGTGCAGGACACAGCACCATTTCACACTGCGCGACGTGAACACGGGTGCAGGGTGCAGGACACAGCGCCGCCTCACACCGCGCCACTTATGCCGGCGCTGGTACGCGACTCGCTGGGGCTGCTTCCCGCTCCAGCCAGCCAGCGGAGCGCAAGCGCAGACCTGAGGGCTGGGATATACCTTTACAGTCAGCGCAGTCCCAGGACAGAGTTCTTCAGGGAACGTTAAAGAAAACGTCTCTCTGCCGGACAGGCCCAAGGACTCTGCATTTTCTCCCGGAAGAAACTGAAGTGGAACTATGCCAATTCCGATCAGATGATCTTTGTGTATTTTTTCATAACTTTCAGCCAAAACAGCTTTCACACCCTGTAATAAATGAGTATTTCATTTCCTTTACTCACATTTGAAAGTTGATTTATTGAGCATTATAAAGGGGAAAAGATTTACCACGATCTTCCCTGAACACTTCACCCTCACACCCCACACTGGGACCGGGTTCCCAAAGGCTCTTTGCAGATGACTTCCTGCGCCTGAAGGAGCTCCCGAAGTTGTTCTGAGGCCGTCAGCCACCTCTCGTGCCCCCCTTGCAGTCAGGGCTCTGCAGATGGGGCGGCCTTCACAGCAGAGCTGAGACAGGTGAACTCTTACTTAAAAGGCAGAGGAAGAGGCCCCATCTGCTGGTTCCTGGCCCAAACACTAGCCCAGAGCAGACACTGGGAGCCGGGAACTCAGTCTGTGTTTCCCGCTTGGGTGGCAGGGACCCAACCACTTGCGCCTCGCTGCTGTCTCCCAGGAAGCAGAGCAAGCATCCAGCCCAGGCCCTAGGAAATGGAACGCGGGTGCCTCACCTGCTAGGATGAACGAATGCCCAACACGCTCTCTGAAATAGAATACTAAAATAAGGGCGTGATGAAGGTATGAACCCATGACAGGGAGGACAGCAGAGGAAATTCTCCAAACATTACAAACTAGAGGATAACTGATACAGCACACAAGGCTGAAATAATGGAATGAGGAGGCTGAGGCTAGGGAACAACACCCTAGGGTCTGAGTCACTTTATAGCAGGAACCCAGGCTAAGCCGAGAATCCAAAGTTCTTGGAAGACTGGCAGTACTGCAGTCTCAGAGCAGGGGTGGGGAACACAAGGGCTGCGAAATCACTTGGGCTGGCCCTGCCAAGGCAACCACAGGCAGGACTCGAAATTCAATAAATCTGCCCACAGATGATATCATAAATATCTAAAGCCCTCGGCAGAAACCGGTTCCGCACCCCGCCCCACAGTAAGGCGGGTCCCATGCTGGGAGGGGAACTGTCTGTTCTCCAGAGAACAAGCCCGAAAGGCTCTAATCTGGGTCTCACTCAGGCCTTTTAGGCCAGTTTACCTTAGTCCTGTCTTCCTGCTCACCTCTTCTCTCCCTCCAAAAATGCAGCACCACAGACACACTGCGTGCGTGCTCACGTGACGCTGTGTGCTTACTGTACTTTGCACATACAATGAATACAGTCGTTGTTAACACTGAAGACCCAGCGTTCGTCCCAATGGCTCTGCTGGGATCACCTCGGGACCGAGGCTCACTGGGCACAGGGACAGGCTGGCCTGAGAACACCAGGCTGGAAACAGGGGCGGCACAGGTGACTGTATCCTGAAATTCAGCCGTCTTAGAAGGCATCACAGGCACCCACAACCAGGGCTTAGCCCACAGCTCCAGGTGGACAAAAGCCAGCCATGGCTGGAGCTTGGGATCAGATTTTCATGTATAACTGTGGGGCTGGCCAAAGACCACTCACGGTATGAGGAAAGCTTCCCACAGAAAAACGTAAATGAGGGGTCGGTGCTGTGGCGCAGTGGGTTAGGGCGCCGCCTGCAACACTGGCATCCCATATGCGCATGGGTTCAAGTCCTGGCTGCTCCACTTCCAATCCAGCTCCCTGCTAATGTGCTTAGGAAAGTAGTGGATGATGGTCCAAGCGCTGGGCCCTGCACGTGGGAGACTGGGGTTGAGTTCTTGGCTCCTGGTTCCCACCTGGCTCGGCCCGGCTACTGAAGTCGTTTGGGAGGTAAAGCAGTGGACGGAAGATCTTTCTCTCTGTAACTCTGCCTTCCAAATAAATAAATCTTTTTTTAAAAAAAGTTGAGAAATGTTTAGAATAAAAGGAATCTGTAACTATCATTAACATTTGTAATACTTCTAAATAGTATCTCAGAAATAGTAGAGAATCTGGTTTACTGCTACAGCTCCTTAGGGTGTTTATATCTGGAGGAAGAAACTAAATCAAGGAAGTTCAAGAAAGCAGGCGGTGGATGAGATGGGCGCTGAGGGTGCACTTGGCAGCCTTCCTCCAGCCCCCGTGAGAACAGCTGGGGAACAGGAAGGGGCGGGCACACAGTCACATGACTGCCCCCCCGCACACCAGGGATACAGCAACAGAGGAACAGTCCTGGGAGAAAGGCTTTTCAGGCTCACAGGCACCACCACATCCTATTATTATACCGTAAGACAGATACTTCTGCCATACGGATTTTGTCACCTAAGAAAATGCTGAATTAAATTCAGATATTAAAATGCAGCCAGATCAGCACAAAATATTCTCCAAAACTGCTAGCAGAAAAAAATACATAAATACAAGGGGCCTACAAAAAATTCATAGAAAATGTGCATTATAAGAAAACTATGCATGGATTTCAAACTTTCTGCACCAAAAATAAACACCTTTTAGTTCATTTACCACAAACATTTCAAAGTACCCTAGCAATGAGGACTGAATAACCATTAAAAAGCCCAAGTAAGCAAAATGAATTTTTACAGGATGTTTCTGACAAAAGGGAGTATTAAAAATTATTTTGGGGCTGGCGTTGCGGCACAGCAGGTAAAGTCACCACTGTGATGCTGGCTTCCCATGTGGGCACCAATTCGATCCCAGCTGCTCCACTTCTGATCCAGCTCTCTGCTAATGGCCTGGGAAAAGCAACGCAAAATGGCCCAAGTACATGGGACCCTGCACTCATGTGAGAGACCAGAAGAAGCTCCTGGCTAATGGCTCTGGCCTGGCCCAGTGCCTCTTGCAGCCAAGTGGGGAGTGAACCAGCGGATGAAGTTCTCTTTCTCCCTGTAACTCTGACTTTCAGATGCTAAGAAGTTTTAAGAACCAATACCAGCAAGTAGGGTCCTTTGGCAGCCCAGTCTCTTGAATTTCCAGAGCCGTATTTCTTCCCTGCTAAGATTATCAGTGGGATCCCTTCTTTCTGGTACAGCTCTGCAGCTTCAAATACATCCAGCTGTGGATCAAACACAAAGACTTAGTACACACTCCGCCCCAGGTCCGCAGCCTCAACGCGCGGTGTGCACCCTTACCGTCTGTCCTGATGGGAAATGAATGGTTTTGGGAGCTGGTTTTCCAATAAATTTATTGAAAAGCTTGATATTTGCAAATGTGCCTCTTGTCATCACAGCATCATTGCCTCTTCGGGCTCCGTATGAATTGAATTCACGGGGGGTAAGGCTACAATAAAATTCTCAGAGTCAGTTTTCACTCCAGATGGAAAATAATTACACAATAGGGAATTGTAAAATTTATCCAAAATTTTATCAACTCCATTAGACTGTGTTGAAGCAATACTCAGATGTATATCTTAACTGTTTCATTGTTTCTCCAAAAGATATGGACTCTTAAAATACATATACCAGTGGCCGGTGCCGCAGCTCACTAGGCTAATCCTCTGCCTTTGGCACCGGCACCCCGGGTTCTAGTCCTGGCCGGGGCGCCGGATTCTGTCCCAGTTGCTCCTCTTCCAGTCTAGCTCTCTGCTGTGGCCCAGGAGGGCAGTGGAGGATGGCCCACGTGCTTGGGCCCCTGCACCCGCATGGGAGACCAGGAGGAAGCACCTGGATCCTGGCTTTGGATCAGCGCGGTGCGCCGGCCTCAGCAGCCATTTGGGGGGTGAACCAATGGAAGAAGACCTTTCTGTCTCTAACTCTGCCTGTCAAAAAAATAAACTATAATAAAATATATATACCATCCTTATACACTCCCCACAACAGAAAAATCTAATCACCTGTTACTACCAGATAGTCATTCAATATTCACATGGCCCTTGCTCTTCCCATACTACTTTTTGAAAGTTGGTCAGTTCAAATCAGCCTTCAAAATATAGTTCCTAAGTGTATTCAGCTGGTCTCAAGTCCCTTTTATCTGTGTGTCCCCTGCACTTCATCTGAAGAGACCGAGTCATCTGTTGGACAGCTCTCTGTATCCCGACTACGTTTACTGTATTCCCATGAACATGCTTTCTGGTCCCCTGAATTTCTTGTAAATCAGACGTCAGATCCAATGGCTCGAGAAGACCTGGACTTCAAGCGTTTGGCAACAAAGCTTCACAGGTCCTGCGTGCCCCTCAGGAGGCACCTGACACTGTCTCGGTCCCCGCTGTCACAGCCATGAATCATGACTGTCTATGCTGGCTGCGTCATCAGACCCTAAGATGGCGCTACCATAATTCACACATTCATCGTCCTCCCCACTCCCACCCCCTTAAAAACCAAAAAGATTTGTGGATTTTGAAAGTCAGATTTATAGGGATGGAGGGAGGGACAGAGAAAGATATACTCCATCTGCTGGTTCACTTCCCAGACGGTCTCAACAGCCAACGCTGGGCCAGGCAGAAGCCAGGAGCTTCCTCCAGCTCTCCCACATGAGTGGCAGGGGCCCAAGGACTTGGGCCATCTTCTGCTGCATTTCTCAGGCCATGAGCAGGGGGCTGGATCAGAAGTGGAGCAGCTGGGACAATAATCAGCAACCATATGGGATGCTGGTACAACTTTGTCAAATACACAATGCAGGGCCCTCCCCTTTTTCTTAAGGCTCCAAATCTTCAGGAAAGGTAAAATTTCCTTCAGCAATGATTTGGTTGTATTCATACATTTCATTCAAGAAACATTAAAGGCTTGAGTGCCTATCAGTTTTCAAAATTATGAGCTGGTTCCCTAACATCTTTCAAACGTAAGAAATTTAACTTTTTTTCCTTTAGAATCATCACCAACTGATAGATGAAAACACATTCCTCATGTTTCAAGTCGTTTCTAGTTACTGTTTTGTTGGTGCTCAATGCGTCCCATCTTTGAACAGTGACGAAGCCAAGCTGGTTCTAAAATCCCTGACAGAAGCCTGATGGTCTCTGACAGCTCCCTTGCTTCTGTCGAAGATGTGCAAAATCATCTTGGACATTTCCCAGTCCCAGATATGGAATCAATCAACCTCCAAGAACGGTTGCTATTATTGGGAATGGTATTTAGAAACCATAATACAGGGGCTGGGGGTGCAGCGTGTGGCACAATGGGTCACACTGGACAGTCAGTTCGAGTCCCAGCTGCTCCCCTTCCGATCCAGCTCCCTGCTAATGCACCTGGGAAAGCGGTGCAAGACAGCCCAAGTGCTTGGGCCCCTGCACCCACGTCAGACCTGGATGGCTGCAGAGGTCATCTGGAGAGTGAATCAGCAGATGCAAGATCACCCTCTGTTTGTCTCTCTCTTTCTTTGCCTTTCAAATAAATAAATCAGTTAATCTTAAAAAAAAAAAAAAAAAAAAAAAAGGGAAGGAAGAAGGAAGGGAGGGAGGAAGAGGGGGAGGAAAGACTGACCAACTGACCACAGTATGGGTGAGTACCCTTAGTGGGGTGTTCACAGCTACTGAATTAGTAACTACAGAAATGACTTTAGGAACAATTAACAACCAACTTTTAGGAAAAAAAAAAAAAATTTGAAAGTTAGAGTGAGAGAGAGAGAGGAAGAGACAGAGATCTTCCATCTGATGCCTCATTCCCCAAATGGATGCAGCAGCCGGGACTGGGCCTCTATCCAGGTCTCCCACATAGGTAGCCAGGACCCAAACACACAGGTCATCTTCCACTACTTGCCCAGGTACATTAGCAGGGTGCACCTGGGACTCAAACCGGTGTTCACAGGGATACCAGTGGCACAGGTGGCAGCTGAAACCACTGTGCTACATGCCAGCCCCAACAACCCAACTTTATTTAGCCTCTAATTTGGTTTCCCAGAGGCAACAATACTCTAAATGTGTACATTTAAATTTCTTACTTCAGGTCCACAGTGGTAGGGATGTTTTATTTTTAGGAAATGCAAACCCACAAGAATTACTGGATTAAATGAGCTAAGAAATTCATATCAAACATATACTATATATGAAAAGTGTGTATCCGAGAGAAATGGTGACTAGTTTTCTTTTACGGAAACTGTCACAATTATCATCAAGATGGAAATCATAACCAAAAAGTATGAGAAAGCAGACTTCCTTTAGTTCTTACTACTCTGTGATCACAGCTCTCCAGTTTTCTCGCCAGTCAAATCGAGCTACACGGCACTGATACAACGTCTCTGTGCAAAACTCCCACCACCTGAACGGCTCAAGGGTCGAGCAAGCACTCAGCAGTGAATCAGGTCCAACACTGCAGCTCCTGCTGTAGCAAAACTTGCGTCTCTGGTGTCAAAACAGCCCTTCAATAGCAGAGCGACTCCACATCATTCAGCGTGTGTAAATCAAATCTTCCCAGTGTTGGGTTTCTAATCCCCTACATCAAAGTCCTTTACACATTCATGCTGATTGTTAAATGCACAATTTTGAGCACTAATTCATTGTCTTTTGATTAGTGCACATCAACCCTAGCCTCCCAACACACACTTCTGGGCTCCGTACCCCTTCACTGCACTCCAATAAAAGGAAGCTCACTAGAACCAAGTGACTGGGCCACATGGTAAGGAACAAAGCGGCTCTGAGAGAATACCTCGTGTCCAGTCAGGTGCTCATTTATACTATAAGGGCTCCGTTTAAACAAGCACTTTCGTCCAATGTTAGTATGTATGCTGCCAAAGTGAGCACTAAAGCAATTGTGTTCAACTTCTAAAGTTACACGCAAAGACCTTGCTTCAAACACAACAGTCAGGATAGCATCAGGCACCGGACCAGGAGAAGCCCCTTCCCCAGAGAGAAAGAAGACAAAACAGAAACCCTCGACCCACCCTCTGTTTGTCAAGTACTTGGCAGCAGCACTGCTCCGGGCGATGCTCCCCGCGGGAGATATGTGATCCGTGGTGACAGAGTCCCCCAGGTGCAGCAAGACGTGGGCATTCTCAATAGCCTGCAGTGCAACTGGTTCTTTGGTCTATAAGGTAAAGGTCCAAGGTGTTGAGCTCCTCACAGGCACTTCAGTTGATTACATGCTTTGAGGATCAGAGGGTAAAGGTACTTACAAGCTTATCAAAGAAGGAAGGACATCGGATGTAAGTAGACTTTACGTCCCACGGAAACAAAGCTGAATCAGGCGCTTCTAAGGAACTCCATCGCTTATTTCCAGTCTGTGGGGAAGAACCAAGAGGAAGACAAACGCTGTCAGGAAGTTTCTGAAAACGTCGAAGGCAACAAAGCAGCACCCAGGTCACAAGGAAAACAAAAAAGGGTCTGTCAGAGAAAGCTGAGGGCGTCTTCCACGAAACCCTGACGCCCTGCGCAGAAATAAACGGATCTGCGCTTCAAACTTTAACAGCTGAATCTTCAGAAGCATTTAAAGTTACATTTTAACATAAACTGAACATAAAGATTCTACAGAGACCTATCTTCACACAAGAGAAGCTGCGTATGTGGGGCTTCTGTGTTGTTAATCTTGAAGAACCTTAACGCTGAGAAAAACTGCCATCTTTCAATGTATCTGTCTTATGTCACTGCCTATTCCTTTTATTAAGACTTGTTTATTTGAAAGGCAGAGTAACAGGGGAAGAGACAGAGAAAACTTGCATCCACTGATTCGCTCCCCAAATGCTGCAAAAGCCAGCACTCGTCAGGCCAAAGCCTAGAGCCAGGAACGCCACCCAGGTCTCCCACATGCATCCTCTGCTCCTTCCCAGGTGCATTAACAAGAAGCCAGAGCAGAAGTGGAGCAGCTGGGACTTGAGCCAGTGCTCTGATACAGGATGCCAGTGTCACAAGCAGTGGCTTAAGTCCCTGCACCACAACACCAGCCCCTATCACTGCTTGTTCTGTTTTAAACTCTATCTAAAACATCACAATTTCTCTCCACTCCATCAACACTGTTTATCCAGGACAACAGTAATTTCTCTTCCTGATTCTATCCTCCTTACTCAATTTCACCCCAATACAATTTTTTTAAGAATTTATTTATTTTGAAAGAGTTACAGAGAAGGAGACACAGAGAAAGAGAGATCTTGAATTCAATGGTCCCTCCCCAGATGGTCACAATGGACAGCACTGGGTCAGTCCAAGACAGGAGCCAGGAGCTTCATCCGGGTCTCCCATGTGGATGGCAGGAGCCCAAACCCTTAGGCTATCTTCCAGTTTTTTCCCAGGCCATTAGCAGGGAGCCGGATGGGAAGCAGAGCAGCCGGGACTCAAACAGGCGCCCGTCCGGGATGCGAGCGTTGCAGCAGATGGCTTAATTTGCCGCACCACAGCACTGGGCCACCAGCATGCTTTCAGTGCAGTGCGCCTTCTAAGCAGATTGTGGCACTCTTCGGTCCAGTCCTTCCAAAGGCCCTCCTCTCACTCACTCAGGGTAAAACGTATCTGACAGGGGAGAGACAGGGAGGAAGGAAACGTGGGGAGTGCGGGAGACAGAGCCAGAGAGGCTCTCAGCCCCTGGTTCACTGCCCACGTCGGCAGGAGCCAGAAGCCAGGAACTCAGTCCAGGACCCACATGTGGGCAGGAACCCCAGCTACCTGAGACACCACTGCTGCCCCTGCCTCCACGCCAGCATCCGCACCAGGAAGCCGGCGTCAACTGTCAGCTGGGTATCTGACGTGGGACCCGGGTGTCTTAACCAGCAGTTCACACGGCTGCCCTGTTCCACAAACTTCAGGCTGCTACCACGGCTTGGGTCCCCAGGGTGATTCTGCTTCCACCAGGCTCTGTGACGTCATTTCTTACCATGGTCCACAGTCACTGTCTCCATACTGCTCTCATTAAAGTTCCCTCCTTAATGTCTCTTACACTGAACAGGTATAGGGTAACTCATTCAAAACTTCCTTCAAATCTACTTCCTAACTTGCTTCAAAACTTTGCAAAGATATCCTTTCATTCTATATAAAACTGCAACACTGACAACACAGCTTGTATTAGTTATTTTTTGATTACATAAGAAATGTAGAAGTTGTCTTTGTGTTTTGTACACTGATGATTTCAAACACCTAAAAAGAGTACCACACAAACACAAGGGGTTCGATAAGTACCTTTCTGTCTTCATATTTATATTCTGTTCTTAAAATAAAAGGTCTGGGGGGGAACACTTGGCCAAGAGGTTAGGATGCCTGCCCACATCCCACACTGGAGCCTCGCTCTAACCTAAATTTCAGTTTCATGCTGATGAGCACCCTGGGAGTCAGTAGGTTGGAACAAGTACTTGGGTCTCAGTCACCCATGCAGGACAATCAGATGGAGTTCTGGCTCCTGGCTTCAGCCTGGCCCAGCCATGGCTGTTACGGGCATTTGGCGAGAGAACCAGAAGATTAAAACACTGTGTGACTCTCAAGACCTAAAAAAATCTGTATGTGTGTGTGTGTCTGTATATACATAAAAACATTTCTGGGAGTCAGCATTGGGACACAGCCGTTAAAGCCACTGCCGGTGACTCCAGCATTCCGTGAGTGTCAGTTTGTCCCAGCTGTTCTACTTCTGATCCAGCTCTGCTAATGGCCTGGGAAAGCAGAAGATGGGCAAGTGCTTGGGCCCTGCTGCCTACACAGGAGACCTGGATGAAGCTCCTGGTTTCAGCTTGGCTCAGCCCTAGCTACTGCGGCCACTTGGGGAGTGAACCAACAGATGGGAGAGCTCTCTCTCTCTCTCTCCCTCTCTGTGTAACTCTTTCAAATAACTAAACCAATCTTTAAAAAAACAAACAAAAAGGAGCCGGCGCTGTGGTGCAGTAGGTTAACACCCTGGCCTGAAGCGCTGGCATCCCATATGGATGCCAGTTCTAGTCCCGGCTGCTCCTCTTCCAATCCAGCTCTCTGCTGTGGCCTGGGAAAGCAGTAGAAGATGGCCCAAGTCCTTGGGCCCCTGCACCCACATGGGAGACCTGGAAGAAGCTCCTGGCTCCTGATCGGTGCAGCTCTGTCCGTTGCGGCCAGTTGGGGTGGGAAGTGAACCATCAGATGGAAGACCTCTCTCTGCCTCTCCTCTAACTCATTCAAATAAATAAGTAAATCTTAAAAACACAAACAAACAAACACAAAACCATTTCTGGAGGGGCAGGTACTTAGCACAGTGGTTAAGAGGCCACTGGGAAGCCTGTATCCTATACGGAAGTTCCTGGGTCTGGTCCAGGCTCCAATCCTGATTTCCCGCCAGTGAGCATGCAGGGAGGCAACAAATGACAGCTCAAGCAGTTGGATCCCAGCTACCAACATGGCAGACCTGGATCGAGTCCCAAGACCCAGATGCATGCAGCCTGGCCCAGCCCCAGCTGCTGTAGGATTGGAGGAGTGAACCAATGGAAGGGAGAGCTCTGTTTCTTTCAAATAAATCAATAAAAACTTTGGGGCTGGCACTGTGGTGTATTGGGTAAAGCTGCCGCCTGCAATGCCGCATTCCATATAAGTGCCGGTTCGAGACCCGGCTGCTCCATTTCCAACCCAGGTCTCTGCTGTGGCCTGGGAAAGCAGTGGATAGATGGCCCAAGTCCTTGGGCCCCTGCACCTGTGTGGGAGACCCAGAAGAAGCTCCTGGCTCCTGGCTCCGGATCGGCTCAGCTCTGGCTGTTGCAGCCATTTGGGGAGTGAACCAGCGGATGGAAGATTCTCACTCTCTCTCTCTCTCTGCAACTCTTTCAAATAAATAATCTTTAATAAATAAATAAAAACTTAAAAAATCTCCACATCACTGGTGAGACAGGTAAAGTAAAAGGCTAGAGAACTGTTGAGAGAGATTTCACTGTTTGCTGTTACCATTTTTTAAATTAAAAAAAGGTTCTTTGAGAGGCAGAGAGAGAGACAGAGAGCTCCCCTCTACTGGAACACTCTCCAAATGCCCATGACAGCTGCGGTTAGGCCGGGGTTGGAGCCAGCAGCCAGCAACCCACGACTTGAGCCATCACCACACTGACTCCCAGGGTCTGCACTGGTGGGATGCTGGAGTCAGGAACCCAGGTACTCCCACAAGGGTCCCTGGCATCTTTCTGAAGCACTTGAGTGGGAATGACCAGCAAGGGCAGTTTCTGTGAAGTGTGCCACATTCAGGAAGCCAAATACAAGGACTTGAGCTTACACAGTACTAAGTATTAGATAAGTGCTATGCATTTTTAGTAAGTAAATAAATTCTAAAACTCTGTTCTTTTTAAAATTAGTGATTCCAGATATAAAATGAGTATTACTCACTAATATCCAAGGATTAAAAACAGTGTAATTTTTATTCCATTCAGAAAGCAGGATGCATAAAAGAACATGTAACTTAGACTATTTCTGCAAACAAGTGAGTTCTTCTCTTACCTCTACCTTTTCCTTTAATGATTTAAACATGGAAAATATAACATGTTCTTCCTCGATCCGATGAACTTCTTCTCTATCAGGCCAAATATCATGCAGATAAATATTCTTGCCAGTAGAGTCAGTCCCTGATAAAAAGATTTTAGCATGGTATTTATGGCAAAAAAACAACCCCCAAAATGTTCAAACCTTTTCAAAAACATATCACAGAAATCAAGTAAATCACTCAACAACAGGCTGCTCACTTAGCAGCTGGAAGAATCACACACTTCACATTCTCACGAGCACTGGAATTATTAACTGCGCATTATCATAAATTTTCCTGAAACACATCACAAAGTGGATGGTCCAAGAAGCATCTCAAAGATGGTAAAATTTTTATGGAAAAAAGGTGTGTGCAGACATACATACATAATAACAGGAACGATACCTAAAGGCTCCGTCAGGAAATCTATATCCACTGTGCCGGCTATGGCATAAGCCACCACTAGGGGTGGAGAGGCAAGGTAATTGGCACGAACACAATCACAAAGACGACCTTCAAAATTTTTGTTTCCAGAAAAAACTCCACAGGTAACCAAATCACCCTGAAAAAAACCACACACATATAAATATATTCAAGAGATGCAACACACTTGGATCATCACATATAAGCAGCCTCCAACATTACAGTTCTGAGGGCAAGACAACCAAAAACCCAGCAGTAACGTTTAGGCCCAGAATTATCAATCCGGCAAACAGAGTGAGTAACCCCTTACGTTATCAGGACATTACTTCTAAGAGCCAGAAATGATCTGCTGACCCATCTTCACCTGGGATACAGAATTATCAATGCAACAACTGTACTTCCTACAATCTAGAAGAGAGCGCAGTTAGGACAACCCACTGGGACATCTTGCAAATGCACACCTCTTACCTGCTTTACTGCATTTAAAACTGCTTCTGACAAGGGTGCTGTGTTCCCCACACATGTTGAACATCCATAGCCAACTATTTCAAACCTGCATTTCAGAAAGTAAATGTGATTGGACAGCATCTCATGTTTGTAAAGAAAGGACGAGCCTTCTCTCATTTCCATCCTACAATGAGAGCGCTTAGCACACACAACCCACAGTTCACCTCCGTCGCTATGTTCATCCCACATCTGACCCTTAGGCACGCGCGTGCTACCTGAACCCTACACAAGCCTGGGAGGAGGCCCAGTACCCACAACAATCCCTGCTAGGTCAACAGCACCGACCACGCCACACAAGGGAATCCCTCAGATACTACTTGCTAGGAATGAAACGTGACCTCTTAAAAAACTCATACTGTATCTCCATCCTTGGGGTTTCCTCAAGCTGTTAAGTGCCAGGAGGCCTCGCCCCGTAACAATCGGAATGAAGACCTACAAAGGTGCTCTGACCCAGCACTCACTGGACACAAATCCATTCTCAGCCAACTAAACTCTCCTGGAGCCTCTGAAAACAGGTCCAAGACAACATAGCTAGAAGATTAGAAATATAATCCTCTAAACCAGTTTCAACTACTGTTGGAAAAGCAGGAAACCTACACTTTATCACACTCACAAAGGAACTGATAATTTAGGTGAGAAGATACATTCCAAAAGATACATCAAAATCACAATCAGCATCAATTTTTTATTACATAAAAAATGTAAAATTAATTTTCTTCAATGTTCAGGGACAACTTTATGTATTAGAGATCCAGTAACCTCACAAAACCTCAATTATGGCAATTTACTGAGTTAATAAATGCAATCTGTAAGATCCCAGTCTCAACAGATCTACACAACTCACAAAAACTGAGTATTGGGCCCAGCGTTGTGTATGGCACAGAGGGTTAAGCTGCCACCTGCAATGTAGGCATCCCATACACCTGTTCAAGTTCTGGCTGAGAAAGCAGCAGAAGATGGCCCAAGTGCTTGGGCCCTTACACCCACGTGGGAGACCCTGAGGAAGCTCCTGGTGGCTGGCTTTGGCCTGATCCCATCCTGGCCATTGCAGCCACTTGAGGAGTGAATTAGCAGATGGAAGCTCTCTCTCCTTCTCTCACTCTAACTCTGCCTTTTAAATAAATCTTAATTTTACTTTATTTTAATTTAAGATAGTCAAGTATGACTTGGTACCATCACTTAGACCGTCCGTCACTGCCACTTGGTTGGCTTGTGCTGCCTCGTCCTCCCTGCCCAGTATCCTGAAGGGAGAGGCCAGGTCTCCCACTTCTCAGCGCCAGCACAGCCCTTGCTCACTGGACACGTCCAGTAAGTGCCGGCTGAGCAACAACTAAAGCACGAGTGTCCCATCCTCTCTTCACAGGAAAGGCTGTAACAGGTGGCAGCTTCCGCACCTGCTGCTCGACACGCATCAGTGTCAACAGTGACGACCGTCACTCACCCGAGCTTACTGAGATACGGTAACACACCGCTTGAACTGAGGTAATGTGTGACCATGCCACTGCCTGGCGACAAGCTGGTTCTGATGTAAGGCTTAACTCGCAGTCCAGCTTCCACAGCCTTTTTAGCCAAAAGACCTGCAGGCAACAAACAACGCTGGTTAGTGCAGCGCGTCTTCCCCGTCATGCATACCACGGCAGGAAGCAAACAGACCAGTCTCCTGTTCAGATTACAGTGAAAGCCCACACTCATCAACTTACTGCCATTATCGTGGCCGTTTTATTCTACTGATTCGCATTACTAACAACAATTTAAAAACTGCAGTAGACATGTAAGCCCTTAGGTTGTACATTATTAAGGTACGTTGATACTGTGGCCTCAAGGAAACAATTAGAAAAATGTGCACACAGAAGGGACCTCAGAAGTTTGTGGAAAATGGAACTGAAAGATGGTTACTCTGGTACAGAGAACACGCAAGTGTTACTTTTCCATAATACATGATTTCCACAAACTTTCTGGAGACCTCTGGTATAACAGATGTCATTAACTGAACCATTTTAAATGCCACAATCATAATAAACTAAGAACAATCTAACACCACGCACAGTCTTCTACTATTAACAAATTGCTCCATAGTTTATACAATTTGATTTCATTTACAACCATTGTTAAAAATCTCTGCAATTGGCTGGCGCCATGGCTCACTAGGCTAATCCTCTGCCTGTGGCGCCAGCACCCCAGGTTCTAGTCCTGGTTGGGGCGCCGGTTCTGTCTTGGTTGCTCCTCTTGCAGTCCAGCTTTCTGGTGTGGCCCAGGAAGGCAGTGGAGGATGGCCCAAGTGCTTGGGCCCTGCACCCGCATGGGAGACCAGGAGAAAGCACCTGGCTCCTGGCTTCGAATAAGCGCAGCACACCGGCCGCAATGTGTTGCCAGTAGCGGCCACTTTGGGGGTGAACCAACGGAAAAAGGAAGACCTTTCTCTGTCTCTCTCTCACTGTCTAACTCTGCCTGTCAAAAAATAAATAAATAAAAATCTCTGGAATTTGGGAAACTTCTTGTAGAATATCAATAAAGGCTTGGTAATGAACTATATTTCTAAATTAACACAAAAAACCTGGCTATGACCTGAATTTTATTTTATTTTTTTGTTGTTGTTGTTGTTGACAGGCAGAGTGGACAGTGAGAGAGAGAGACAGAGAGAAAGGTCCTCCTCCGCCATTGGTTCACCCTCCAAAGGTCGCCGTGGCCGGCGTGCTGCAGCCGGCGCACCGTGCTGATCCGAAGGCAGGAGCCAGGTGCTTCTTCTGGTCTCCCATGGGGTGCAGGGCCCAAGCACTTGGGCCATCCTCCACTGCACTCCCTGGCCACAGCAGAGAGCTGGCCTGGAAGAGGGGCAACCGGGACAGAATCCGGCGCCCCGACCGGGACTAGAACCCGGTGTGCTGGCGCCACAAGGCAGAGGATTAGCCTACTGAGCCACGGTCCTGGCCCTATGACCAGAAACTAATAGGTAAGTCACAACACAAAAAAATTTCTTTTATGTTATAAAAAAGCAAAATTACTAAAAAAAAAAAAAAAAAAAAAAAAAAGAAAGAAAAGAAAAAAGAAAAAAAGAAGGAAGCAAAGCTGTGGCAGTGAAGGACACCTACCTGCAGCGAGCATGACGGAAGGGTTGCAATTGTTGGTGCAGCTGATGACGGCGGCGATGACCACGGACCCGTGAGACAGCTTATACTCACTTCCTTCATAGTGAAGAGACACGACATCCTTTTGCTTTTCAGCTGCAACTTGGAAGCCTTTAAATCCAACCTACGCAAATTTGTACATAAAAAAAAAAAAAACAAGCATTATGGATATGTAGAGGAAAAAAAGACTGGTAGAAAACATAGCAGATCCTCGCTGGCTGATTTAACATTCAAGGTTCTGACCATGTGGGGCCAGTGCAGTAGGTTAAGCCTCCGCCTGCGGCGCCAGCATCCCATATGGGTGCTGGATCGTGTCTCGGGTCTTCCACTTCCGATCCAGCTCTCTGCTGTGGCCTGGGAAAGCAGTGGACGATGGCCCAAGTCCTTGGGCCCCCCACCCACGTGGGAGATGTGGAGGAAGCTCCTGGCTTCAGATTGGTGCAGCTTCGGCCGTTGCAGCCATCTAGGGAGTGAACCAGTGGATGGAAGACCTTTCTCTCTCTCCCTCTCACTGTCTGTAACTCTACCTCTCAAATAAACAAACAAAATCTTAAAAAAACAAAACTGACTTGCATGCTGGTCAGAAGCAATAAATGTGTGAACGCTGGGTGACCATATAGAATGGCTGGGGACTGAGTGAACACGTCACTTTCTTGGATCTTGACTATTTAGCACAAAGGCATTTGACGAAGACAACAATAAAAGCAACCAACCTTTTCATTCAAGCAAGCCTGGAAATCACTTTTCATGTCTGTCACAGCAACTCTATCCTGAGGTCTCTTTGGACCACTGACAGATGCAACTATTGAATTCAGGTTGATCTGGATGACCTAGGAGATGAGGGAGAAGGGGCAGAGAAAGAATCAGAATTCCTAAACACAGGGGCCAGCGCCGTGGCGCAGTGGGTTAACGCCCTGGCCTGAAGTGCCGGCATCCCATATGGGCACCGGTTCGAGACCTGGCTGCTCCACTTCCAATCCAGCTCTCTGCTATGGCCTGGGAAAACAGTAGAAAATCGTCCAAGGCCTTGGGCCCCTGCACCCATGTGGGAGACCCAGAAGAAGCTCCTGGCTCCTGGCTTCGGATCGGCACAGCTCCAGCAGTTGCAGCCAATTGGGGAGTAAACACCAGATGGAAGACCTCTCTCTCTCTCTCTCTCTCTCTCTCTGCCTCTCCTCTCTCTGTGTAACACTGAATTTCAAATAATAAATAAATCTTTAAAAAAAAAAAAAAAGAATTCCTAAACAGATTCCCATTCAAGCATTACTTTCTAAAGGAGAATCATTACACTCACATTTCTTTTAACACTGGTTTGTTTAAATGGTAAAACATGCCCCCAGAAATCAAAATTTAAAATTAGTTCATTTAAACTTGTGAAACATATGAACATTTGTTAAAGACAAGCTAGTAAATTAGTAGGCAATCAAACTACCACACCACTGACTGAATTCGCTGTATAAAATTAGCTGTATAAAAAGCAGAGCTCGGCCGGCGCCGTGGCTCAATAGGCTAATCCTCCACCTTGCGGTGCCAGCACACCGGGTTCTAGTCCCGGTCAGGGCGCCGGATTCTGTCCCGGTGCCCCTCTTCCAGGCCAGCTCTCTGCTATGGCCAGGGAGTGCAGTGGAGGATGGCCCAGGTGCTTGGGCCCTGCACCCCATGGGAGACCAGGAAAAGCACCTGGATCCTGGCTCCTGCCATCGGATCAGCGCGGTGCGCCGGCTGCAGCGGCGGCCATTGGAGGGTGAACCAACGGCAAAGGAAGACCTTTCTCTCTGTCTCTCTCTCTCTCACTGTCCACTCTGCCTGTCAAAAATAAAAAAAAAAAAATAAAATAAAAATAAAAAATAAAAATAAAAAGCAGAGCTCCCCAAATGTTTTCTCCTGATAATGATAACCTGTTGTAACAAGATGCCTCTGCCAGTCATCAATGTATTGTCTCTGAGGGCTGGCACTGCAGCGTAGCGGGTAACGCCACCACCTGCAGTACTGGCATCCCATATGGGCACCGGTTCTAGTCCAACATTCAGCTATGGCCAGGGAAAGAAGTGGAAGATGACCAAGTCCTTGAGCCATGCATCCACAAGGGAGACCCAGAAGAAGCTCCTGGCTCCTGGCTTCGGATCAGCGCAGCTCCAGCAATTGTGACCATTTGGGGAATGAACCAGTGGATGGAAGACCTCTCTCTCTGCCACTCCTTCTCTATCTGTGTAATTCTTTCAAATAAATAAACCTTTTAAAAAAAAAATCAGTATCCTGACATTATAGTTTCTTTATGTGATCAGGATTCTTTCCAGATAAATTTATTGTATTTTATTCTACCACCCAAGTTTTTCTATTTAATATTTTTTATTCTTTTTATTTGTTTCTATTTCCTTTTTTTTTTTTTTTTTTTAAGCATTAGCAGCAATAGTTGGCTCACTGATAATTCTGGTGTTTTGTTTTGTTTTCCCCTTATTTATTTCTTTATTTGAAAGGTAGAAAAAGAACTCTTCCATCCACTGGTTCACTCCCCAAATGCCCACAACGGCCATAGCTGGGCCAATCCAAAGCCAGGAGTTTTTTCTGGGTCTCCCACATGGGTGTAGGGGCCAAAGGACTTGAGCCACCTTCCACTGCTTTCCCAGGCCACAGCAGAGAGCTGAATCAGAAGCGGAGCAGCCGGGACTTGAACCAGTGCCCATATGGGATACGGGCACTGCAGGCGATGAATTTACCCACTCTGCCACAGCGCTGGCCCCTCTGTTTTCTTTTAATGAGACAAATCACTAAGTCCAAGGGAAGCAAAAGGAATTAGAAAACTATCAGAGAAGTTGAAAGATTTGTCCAAAGTGCCACATGAATTCAATCCCTGTGGTTCTATGCTGGTCTTCAGTATGTCTGCATTTATTCATTTACTAGCCTAACGTGCTTCCTGAACATCTGCCAGGGACCCGAGACCCAGCCAAACCGCACTCCTGGCCCCAAAGCACACACTGGCATCCCAGTGGGGAAAGACAAACAAGTGTACAGGTTGGCACATGCCATGAAGAAAAATAAGTCTGGGGAAAAAATATTTTCTTGTAAAAATTAGCTTAACAACTTACACCAAGTTGTTACAGGCCTGACACACTCCTAGAAAATGAATTTTATTCAAGTTAAGACTTTCCTGAATGTGAGTTCAATATAATTTTATAACAGATAAAATATTTACTTAGATTATAAAATATCTTTAAAACAAACATTTAAGATCATGTAGCCGTGATCTCTGACAACAGAACTTTCCGAGATGAAGTCACAGGCGCTGATGTGGTGCAGCGGGTTAAGGGGCCACCTGCAATGATGCCAGCATCCCAGATGAGTGCCGGTTCAAGTCCCAGCTGCTACACTTCAAACGCAGCTCCCTACTAATGTGCCTGGGAAAGCACCAGCAGATGGCTCAAGTGCTTGGGCCCCTGCATAGACATGGGAGACACCTAGACGGAGCTCCTGGCTCCTGGCTTCAGCCTGGCCCAGCTCTGCCCTCTACAGCCATTTGGGCAGTGAACCAGCAAATGGAAGACTTTACTCTGTCTCTCCATCTCTCTAACTCTGCCTTTCGATTAATAAACAAATCCAAAAACAACAATAAAAACAAGACACAATCATAAAGCAGAAGTAGAGACACCAAAATTGTTGCTTCGGAGGAACAGTACTTGTCAAAAAAAAAGTTAAAGAATTGAGTCAACTTTAAATACTGAAAAAGGAGGTCGGTACTGTGGAACAGCGGGTGGAGCTATTCTGCGACGCCAGAATCCCATGTGGGCACCAGTCCCAGCTGCTCCCTGCTCATCTCCCTGCTGTGGCCTGGGAAAGCAGCAGAGGATGGCTCAAATGCTTGGGCCCCGGCACCCACGTGGGAGACGAGGAGGAGGCTCCTGGCTCCTGGCTCTGACTTGATCAAGACCCGGCCATTTGGGAGTGGACTGGCATGTGAGAGGTCTTGCTCTCTGTCTTTTCCTCTTAACTCTTTCAAATAAATAAATCTTTACATCACTACTAAAAATAGGACCAGAAAATGCTACAAAATTTACTATACAGGAATCTAGATAAAATTAATAAAATCAGGGCCCAGCACTATGGCACAGTGGGTTAACATCCTGGTCTGAAGCGCTGGCATCCCATATGGTTGCATGGTTCTAGTCCCGGCTGTTCCTCTTCCAATCGAGCTCTCTGCTATGGCCTAGGAAACCAGTGGAAGATGGCCCAAGTGCTTGGGCCTGTGGGGAGCAGCCCGGACTAGACTGAGTTACTGGAATTGGGACTTATTCTATGCATCTGCTCTCCCACAATATGGCGCTGGGAGAGAAGTAAACAGCTTCTGCACAGCTGCCTCCAGTTCAACCAATAAACTGTAGGACTTGCTCCTGATTGGAGGAGAGCAGCGTACTCGGCGTGTGGGCAGCCGAGTTGGGATTGGCAGAGGAGGACTATAAAGGGGGAGAGAGACGGCACGCACCAGGAACATCTAAGGGGAACATCTAGCTGAAGGAACACCCGTGCAGCCCCCGAGAGAGCCGGCCGGCGGTGTGCCGCTCCCCTGCGGAAGTGGGGAATGTGGCCAGGGGGAACTGCCCTTCCACGGAGGTGGAAGGGATAGTAGCCAACCCGGGAAGAACCAGCAGCAAACCCGGGGAGGGCCGAGCAGACGAAAGAACAGCGCAGGGTCCCGTGTCGTTCCTCCACGAAGAGGGGGAGCGACAGGGCCCCTGCGCCTGTGTGGGAGACTTCGAAGAAGCTGCTGGTTCCTGGCTTTGGATTGGCGCAGCTCCAGCTATTGTGGCCAATTGGGGAGTGAACCAGCAGATGAAGACCTCTCTCTCTGCCTCTTCTCTTTCTGTGTTAACTCTGACTTTTAAATAAATAAATAAATGTTTTTTAAAAATTAATAAAATCAAAGGATTGGGCTACAAATGAAAGTTCTTAAAAAAAAAAGCCCCTATTAAGCACTTACTGTATGCATTTGTATTTAATCTAAGAATCTTATGTTGCATTTGACCATATTTTAGAGAAGAGGTAACTGAGGCAGAAAGACTGTACAATTACACCAGGTTAGACAGCTATAAGGCTTAGAGCTGGGATTCAAACCAGAATGTACACCTTTAACTACCAGTCTGTGGCTTATCTGTACATACCTGGGAATACTCAGGTTCTCCAGGATTCTGGTCATTTCGAAACAATTTCACAGCTTTAAGGTATGTTTCCATGGACTTGAGTCTGGCTTTGTCAAAACCTGAAAAGATGAACAGGGACAAAATCTGTTAAGGAGTTCTGAAACCCAGAGCTGGGCGAGAAACCGCTGCCCACACCTATTCATGCCCCTCTCCCGCCTTCGAGGCCATGGGAGTGTGGTCTGCTATGGATCTCACTGAGCCCCAGCTGCCAGCCAGCATGGCAGGAGTCTTCAGGATCCAAGGCTCTGTCAGACCCTGACGGCTGAGACCCGAGATATCATGAAGCAGGGCACCATGTCCCCACTACCCCCGTCTGAACCACTGGCCCACTGTACCCACAGGCCATGAAGGATTACTACTGTTCAATGCCACTGAGTTTAGGATAATTTGTTACATAACAGATCACTAATATCTTAACTCAGATTAGTGTGAAGTAGTAAGATTAGTGTGAAGTAGTAAGATTAGTGTGAAGTAGTAAGATTAGTGTGAAGTAGTGAGGCAGCTCTAATCATTTCTCTGGAATGCTCTGGCAACCCAAAACCAGATACAGGGAAGTTTCCCATTTTATGAGGAACATTCCACCCAGGTCCCACAGAGCCAGTCATCCACTTTGCATTTCAGTCATTGACTTATCTGTCTGCCCCGAGCTGAAGAATACATCCCCCAGACTTTCTATGATTACAGATGAGTAGCTTAGCGATGATCTCTTCACAAAGGGAAATGGATGGAATTAAAAAAAAAGAGAGAGAGACTGAAGAACAGTAGCCTTACGAAATACCAACACCTTCTGGTTTTACAGATACATTTTTTTTCTCTTAAGATTTATTCACTTATTTGAAAGGCAGAGGCAGAGGCAGAGGCAGAGGCAGAGGCAGAGGCAGAGGCAGAGGGAGAGGGAGAGGGAGAGGGAGAGGGAGAGGGAGAGGGAGAGGGAGAGGGAGAGGGAGAGGGAGAGGGAGAGGGAGAGGGAGAGGGAGGGAGGGAGGGAAAGAGAGAGATTGTCCATCTGCTAGTTCACTCCCCAAATGGCCACAATGGCCTGAGTTGGGCCAATCCAAAGCCAGGAGCTTCTTCCAAGTCTCCCACGCAGCTGCAGGAGCCCAAGCACTTGGGCCAACTTCAATCAACAGGGGTCAGCGTTGTGGCACAGCAGATTAAACCACCGCCTGTGACACTGATCCCATGTGGGCACAGCAGGTTAAACCACCGCCTGTGACACTGATCCCATGTGGGCACTGGTTTGAGTCCCAGCTGTTACACTTCCCATCCAGCTCCCTGCAAATGCATCTGGGAGAGAGGCAGAAAATGGCCCATACACTTGGGCCCTGCTACCCATGTGGGAGACACAGATATAATTCCAGGATCCTAGCTTTGGCCTGGCCCAGCCCTGACCACTGCAGCCACTCAGGGAGTGAACTAGTATACAGAAGATCGATCAGTCAATCTCTCTCTCCCTAACTCTGCTTTTCAAGTAAATAAAACGGCCAGCACTGTGGCTGCAGCCTGATGTACCGGATCCCATATTGAAGTGCCGGTTCCAGTCCCGGCTGCTCTGTTTCCAATCTAGCTCCCTGCTGATGTGCCTGGGAAGGCAGCAGAAGACGGCCCAAGTCTTGGACCCCTGCACCCACGTGGGAGACACAGAGTTCCTGGCTCCTGGCTTCAGCCAGTCCCAGTCCCAACTGCTGCAGCCACTCGGGAAGTTAACCAACGGAAAGATCTCTTTCTCTCTGTCTCTCCCTCTCCTACCACTCTGCCTTTCAAATAAAAAAAAAAAATCTTAAAAAAAAAAAATCAACACAACAGTGGTCCATGTCCCTAATAAGATGATAAAACAAACAAGCAAACAAACAAAAAGATGATAAAAACACTCGGCACCTAGACTGGATTTCACAAAAAGACGCACTTGCTATTCTTCCGCAAGAACCCCGATCCCAAGCTCTCCTGTCAGCTGCTCCTGTCCTCCTGCGTGGAGACGGACAGGTGTGACTGTGCACAAGCCTGACTGCATCACATGCACCCTCCGTGCCGAGTACGCGTGGAAAGGGAGGACGTGAGGGCCAGTGGTGTGAGTGGTGTGAGTAATCCCATCGGGGTTGAGGTGACTCTGTCAAGTCACCATGTGCAGTCTGAGAGTCGTTGGTTCAAAATAAGGGAACGTCATGAACATTCACTGGCACGTGAGACGGCAATACCGTCGGACAGACGTTCCATCTCAGGGCCACGAACCTTACCTGTGTGTTCTAAGTGTTTCAGCGTCACATTGTCAACAGGGAAAAAGCTGAGGACAGCACCATATTCTGGACACATGTTTGCTATTGTAGTCCGATCAACGATGGACAGCTGAGAAACTCCACTGCCAAAGAACTCGACAAACTTTCCAGCAACTCCTACTTGCCTGAGGTGCTGAACAAGAACACAGAAACACACAGAAAACCGCAAAGACGAGATTAGCATGGATTCCCTGAAAACTAGAAAACCCAATTGTTAAACCAATTCTAGCAGTACTGAAGGAATGAGATCCTTCAGTTAGGACATATCAACTCATTTTAGTTCCGCAAGTATTTTCACAGTCCACACAAGGTAGCCCAACGTCGCTGACAATCACGGTAGAAAGGGGCTGACAGGTCAGGGCTGCACAGCTCACACTCAGCGTCTCTGGGAACAGGCGCACTGGGACGCCCGTCTGTTTAGCAGGCAGTCCCCCTCTTTTCCTAGCAGCACATAAGGCAATGGCGCTCCAACCACTGATGGCATCTCAGATTTACCAAACACTAAGTGGTGATGAGCTGTGCATTGAAACAAAAACTCTCCAAATTATAGCTACCAGCCCAAATACTGGAAATATTATTAATTATAAATAAATCCAATTTTGGTAGGATTTAACATGCAGCTTCAAACTTCATTTCTTCTAAAATAGCTTTTTCTTGTTCAACTATATTTTTTAAAGATTTATTTATTTATTTGAAAGAGTTACACAGAGAGAGGAGAGAGGGAGAGAGGAGAGGGGAGAGAGGGGAGAGAGAGAGAGAGAGAGAGAGAGAGAGAGAGAGAGAGGTCTTCCATTCGATGGTTCACTCCCCAATCGGCTGCGACGGCCAGAGCTGCGCCAATCCGAAGCCAGGAGCCAGGAGATTTTTTGGGTCTCCCATGTGGGTGCAGGGGCCCAAGCACTTGGGCCATCTTCCACTGCTTTCCCAGGCCATAGCAGAGAGCTGGATCGGAAGTGGAGCAGCCGGGTCTCAAACCGGTGACCATATGGGATGCCAGCGCTTCAGGCCATGGCGTTAACCTGCTGTGCCACAGCACCAGCCCCCTTTTTCAACTATTTTTAAAAACTTGTACTTGTGGCCGGCGCCGTGGCTCACTAGGCTAATCCTCCACCTTGCGGCGCCGGCACACCGGGTTCTAGTCCCGGTCAGGGCACCGGATTCTGTTCTGGTTGCCCCTCTTCCAGGCCAGCTCTCTGCTGTGGCCAGGGAGTACAGTGGAGGATGGCCCAAGTGCTTGGGCCCTGCACCCCATGGGAGACTAGGAGAAGTACCTGGCTCCTGCCATCGGATCAGCGCAGTGCACCGGCTGTAGCGCGCCAGCCATGGCGGCCATTAGAGGGTGAACCAACGGCAAAGGAAGACCTTTCTCTCTGTCTCTCTCTCTCATTGTCCACTCTGCCTGTCAAAAAAAAACACACACACACACAACAACAACAACAAAAGAACTTGTACTTGTTTTACTTGAAAGGCAGAGATGGATGGCAGGGGGCGGGTGTTGTGGCAGGTACATTGCTTCTTTGAACAACTGCATCCCATATCAGAGTGCTGGGGATCAAGTCCCACCTCTGCTTCCAGTCTACCTTCCTGCTAATGAGCACCCTGGGAGGCAGATAACTGCTTAAGTTCTTGGGTCCCTGCTACCCTCATGGGAAACCTGGATAAATTCTGAGTTCCTGGCTCTGGCTTGACTTAGGCCCAGTTGTTGCAGGCATTTGGAGAGTGGATGGATGTTCTCTGACTTTCAAATAAACGAAAGTAAACAAGTAAATTTTATAGGGGGGAGGGTGCCCGTCTGCTGGCTCACGTCACAATGCCCACAACAGCTGGGCCAGGACAGGCCAACATCAGGTCTCCCAGGTCCAGGTGGGCGGCAGGGACCCAAGTACTTAAGCTATCACCTGCTGCCTCTCAGCGCATGCATTAGCAGGAAGCTACAATTGAGAAGAGTCTGGCCTTGAACCCAGGCACTCTGATGGAAGAGATGGGTAGGCGAAAAATAAATAAATAAAAATTAAAAATTAAATAACAAAGAAGAGATGGGTATCCCAAGCAGCACCTTAACCACTAGGTCAAACTCCTGCCCCTAAAACTTTCTTCACGACTACCAAGGCTAGCCACACATCTTTCCTAGGTTGTAAAACTGTCTCTGATTGGCACAGGGAGAGCTGAAGTGAACCCTAGCATTTCAGAACTCCTGCTTACAGGAACAAGTCTTACACAAGGACACTTCCTTATATTTACGATTCTATTTCCGAGGGTTACAGAAAACACGTATTAGATACACTACACCAAATGCTGCCTTCCTCAAATTAAGGAGGCATCACAGTGTATGTTTGAACCAACAATACATGACTAACCTCTTAAAGATAATGAATAGAACAAGAACAGAACCTCAAAAATAATATATTCAACAAATGTAAACATACATACTACATTAGCATGCTAAAATGTCAAAAACACAGAGTAAGACTGTTCAGAAAAAAGCAGAGCCAGGGGGATCTGAAAAGCAGCGTAGCTTTCAGGATGTCTGAAGAACTGACTTTTCTAAATGGTCTATTACTTTTCCTCTGGGAATAATCCTGCTTTCTCAATGTAACTTCCTGATCTTCTGGTACATCCACTGAATCAGTCATTTCCCTAAGATGCCACATTTCCTCCAAACAGGAAGAAGAATCAAAGCCAAAGCCTACCGGGGAGGCATTAGTGTTTTCTCACCTTGTGGAGGACCTGGAAGCCTTCAGACTCAACCATCCCCAAAAATGCGGAGACACTGGGATCCACAATAGAACTACATAAGAGACATTTTTAAGTGCCTCTTAAAATGACACCTCAAAGATTAATTATTTTTGTTTTATTAAAAAGGCAGAGAGACAGAGGGAGACTGTCTATCTGCTGGTTCACTCCTCCAATACCCTCAAAACTAGCAAGAAGCAAGACTGCAAGCAGGGCCAGGACTCAGCCCTTGGCACTTTACATGGGGTGCAGGCATCCCCAGCAGGATCTTAACCACTGAGCTAAACGCCTGCCCCAGGACTTCATCATTAAGACAAAGTGAGTGAAAACCAGAAATTCAGAATGGAGAATTAACACTTCTTGTGGACAGCTGTTAAAGGCATGCAGTCAATATTTTCAAATCCATACAAAAAGTTTCTGCATCTTCAAAAAAATGTTAAAATAGCCCATAGAAACATTTGATACCATCATGTAAAGTATTATGTAGTAATGCTTCATTTAATGTAATGATTAAATATTAAAGGAGATGCAATCAAGTTCTTGTTTAGTATGGCATTTCTAAATTTCATGTAGTCAGAAGAAAATGAGGCAATGACATAATGGCACCCTCATGGACTCAAGACCCTGGCTGCTGGACTAGAATCCCTGTTTGCCCACTTCCTGTCCAACCCCATGACCCTTTGTTCAATCCTTAAACATTCAGATTTCTCAGAATGAAAATGCTGATTGTAACAGTACCTACCTCACAGGCTTCTAATGAGGAGCAAATAAATTAACATGTTAAGTGAACAGTGACAACAATCATACAAAGCAAATATTACATATCGCTGCTACTACTGCTGTGCTAATTATGATGGTGTCATTAACGTGAGAGCCCTAAGGATCAGGATAGAGCCCTGATCCCTAATACAGTCAGTGTGCACTAAGTCAGAGAGCCACCACACCTTATCACCTTATGCTTACCTTCGTAATGCCAAGGACGACATCTATGGATGTAACAAAGGGGTTTGACGACCCCATCAACTCACATCCAACCACCTCTGGCAAAGTAAGAGAAACTGGCAGACCAAGCATCACAGCCTCTGTTTCAATGCCTCCAACCCCTAAGGAAAGAGCAGGCGGGTCAGCAGAACACATCTGCAGACACTTTATCCCTGGGGGTTTCACAACCTCGTCTTACACAGGACCTTACAGACTCGCTAACTGCTCGTCTTGCAGGGACTGCAAACAGCCCTGCTGGGAGGAATCACCCCACCCACATAAACAACCCAACAAGCATTCACGGAACTTCCGTTTGGCACTGCATGGTGCTAAGACGCAAGTGTGAAAGACACAACTGTGTAAACCCAGCCTTATGGCCCTCAAGAAGCTCAATCTAAAGAAAAAGGAAACACCCTAATAATCGCATGCCACCCTGTGAAGAGTTAAGCACAGAGCGAGGCACCCTTAACTCAGTGTGGCAAGTTCACGCTTCCAGGGCCACAAGCTCGGCCTCGAAGCAGGTGGACTGCGACCATATTTCAACAGCGAAAGCTGCAGCTGGCACAATTTCTTCTGCCAGGGACAACGGTCTGTGCGAAGCCTGACAGAGAGCATGGCCCACTCAGGAAATGGGGGTCAGGTTTCTGAGGCCTGTGTGGCCAAGGGCCTCAGAGCAGCAGCTTGGGAAGGGCTCTGCATACAACACCAAGGAATCTGGATTCATAACCAAGGTCAGGAAGAGGTGCTGAAGGACTTGACCCTTCACCCTCACCCTCACCCTCACCCCAATTGCTTCACCGGCAGTAGAGCTGTGCTGGGCATGGAGCAAATCTCTTTTCAGAAAACCTCTCTTACTACTCAGTTCACAAAGACGACTGATGAAGACAAGCGCCTCAGAGAGGGTATGCACCCACCATCTACGTCCCGTTACAACGTTCTTGGCGCACTTACCCCAGCCTAGAATCCCCAAGCCATTCACCATGGTTATGTGAGAATCCGTGCCGACCACGCTGTCTGGGAAGAGGAGGTTCTCTTCCTCAGACACTACTCTTGACAAGTACTCTAGGTTTACTTGATGAGCCATTCCAGTTCCAGGAGGGATCACAGCCACATTCTTAAACACTCGGGAACTCCACTAGATTTTGTTCAAAGAAACACAAGGGTTAGTACTGGAATGTGATTGTATTCATAATCAAAATATATTGACACATAAAAATAATCAATGTCCAATATGGTCAGTTCAAAGTTTATAGCACATCCTTAAAAACAAATGTGCAGATATTCAACCTAACATCTGCTTTACAGATATTTAAAACAAAACTAAGTTAGGTCAAAGAAGTATGTTCCAATAGCTCCAGTAAATGATCTACTCATGTTTCAAAGATTCCCAGAGATGAGCAGATAGGAAGACCCCAGGCACAAACTCGCCAAACTCCCTTGAACCAGAGACACTTCTGCCACTGGGGTTTCCAGTAAGATTTTATTTGAACAAAGCTTTCAACTACCATAACAGCTTTAAAAAGCACCAAAGAGGGGCTGGCTTTGTGACATGGTAGGTAAAGCTGCCACCTGCGACACTGGCATCCCATGTGGGCGCTGGCTCGAGTCCCAGCTGCTCCACACTTCTGAGCCAGCTCCCCACTCATGCGCCTGGGAAAGCTGTGGAAGATGGCCCAAGTGCCTGAGCACCCTGCACCCATGTGGGAGACCTGGAAGAAGGTCCTGGCTTCCATCGGGGCCCGCCCTGGTCACTGTGGCCAGCTGGAGAGTGAACCAGCGGATGGAAGATCCTTCTCTGTCTTTTCCTTTCTCTGTAACTCTGCCTTTCAAATAAATAAATTTTAAAAACACACTAAAGATACAAATAAAAAATTGCACCTATCAATATTTTACAAATTTCAGTACAAAAGCTCCCCCAAATCTTTTTATACCTTGAAAAATTGAAGCCTCTCGCGATTTCTGCCAAATTCTACTTCTTGATTTTTTAATACTGTTTCAGGTCTGAAAAGAAGAGCTGTTGTTAAATTCACATCTTACAGAAAAGCCTTGTTTCTAAGTATTTCTCCTTCTGTGTATTAAGCACTTTTTTAAAGCCTTAGAACAATTTACCAGACTTCTCAGAATTAGGGTTTTTTTTTTTCCAACAAGGAAGTTGTGCTTTAAATAACTTCCCCGACAGGCATAGAAAGGAGTTACTATTTTACTAGGTACAACAAAGCAATGTCCACACCAGTGTCCAAAGCTATACTTAAAATGCATTATTATGAAAGACTTGGCTACAAGCTCAATAAATGGTATGTTTTGTTTTCCACTGCAATTAAAAAAAAAGGAGGGGCCTGTACATGCTTATTTAGCAGTTAGCTCCTACACGGTTACACTGGGAAACGGGTGTTGATTATTGACATGAGGCAGTACACCTGACCACATTTATGGCTTAAACAGCTTTTGGTGAAAATCTTTTATTCATCTCACCCAAAATGGAGGGCTCTTTTTTTATGTATCAATAATTTTCTTTAAATGGATTATAAATGCATTTTATGTTAATTATTTCAACTAAGAGACAACAATAACTCACCTCTAAGCAGTAAATATCATACCACCGTGGGGAAACTAATTTTACCTAATAGATATTTTTTAAAAATTATTTCAAACAGCATTTATTTATTCCACCCGCCAGCTGGAGATTAGACACTGACTAAACATCAATCTAACCTAAATTACACAGGTCCTCCAGGATCTGCAGTCATCTGTCAGTATTTTTAAAGAACAGGGACAGGGGCTGGTGCTGTGGCACAGCAGGTAAAGCTGCCGCCTGCAGTGCCAGCATCCCATTCGGGCGCCAGGTCAAGACCCGGCTGCTCCACTTCTGATCCAGCTCTCTGCTATGGCCTGGGAAAGCAGCAGAAGATGGCTCAAAGCCTTGGGCCCCTGAACTTGTGTGGGAGACCCTGAAAAGCTCCTGGCTCCTGGCTTCGGTTTGGCACAGCTCCGCCCACTGTGGCCAGTTGGGAAGTGAATCAGCAGATGAAAGATCTTTCTCTCTCTCTCTCTGCCTCTCCTTCTCTCTCTGTGTAACTCTTTCAGATAAATAAATAAATCTTTTTTTGAAAAAAATAAAAAAATAACGCATTGCGGGACCGGTGCTGTGGCATAGCAGGAAAAGCCACCGCCTACGGTGCTGGCATCCCATATGGGTGTAGGTTCAAGTCCCAGCAGTTCCACTTCTGATCCAGCTCTCTGCTATGGCCTGGGAAAGCAGTAGAAGATGACCCAAGTCTTTGGGACCCTGCACCTGCTAGGGAGACCTGGAAGAAGCTCCTGGCTTTGGGTCGGTGCAGCTCTGGCCGTTGCGGCCAGTTAGGGAGTGAACTGGAGAATGGAAGACACCTCTCTACCTCTCTCTCTCTCTCTCTCTCTCTCTCCCCTTCTCTGTGTAACTATTTCAAATAAATAATAAAAATAAAACTTAAAAAAAAAAAAAAAAAGGAATTCATTGCACATTGATGACTTGAAGCCACAGCACAGTGAGGTTCTTCTCAGGACCTCAGGGACACAGCTTTCTGGAGCCACTGGAGTGACTTCACCTTTCCACTGCACGACGCGACACAGGGCCAAACACGCAGTGCTGAACCGGCCTGCAAATCAGGCACTGAGTTCAAGTGTCAGATGTCATGCTCGCAACGTTCTAGCCCTCAACTTCTTGCCTGAACCTACAATTAACATTTTACAGAAGAACTAAAGAACACAAAAGAATTCTTTACTATGTCACACAGCCAAGAATTACAATACAATCGTTCTTAATTTAGAGGCAACACTGAGGGGAAATTTGATTGAATTTTAGAAATGAAAATATACAGTAACTCACTCATTCTCTGCAAGTTACAAAAAGGCAACTAAAGAATCAATTATTTTTAAATCAATAAATCTTCCTTTTCTGGAATTATTTTCCATACAAAAGACATTAACCACAAAAGCAACAGGCTGCTAACCACCAGTACAAACAGGTAGCAGGAATAAGGAGTGACAACACGAGCCTGTCACAATTTGAGAGCCAAGCACAGGGATTATATCGAGTTGCTAGAAAGAGCGAGCATAGGAGCTCACTGTAGCCCTGGCTTTATGAAATACTGGAGGAGAGGGCACTCGGGGCAGTAACGGAGACGCCGCTCGAGACACCGGCATCCCACACGGGAGTGCCTGGGTTTCAGTCCAGTTCTGCTCCCTATTCACACCCTAGAAGGCACCAAAAAATGGCTCAAATACTTGGGTACCTGATACCCAAGGGAAATCAAGATTGAGAACCAGCGTATGAATGACACAAATTCACGAAAATATAAAACCCAATTGAAAATGAGATCCTGTTTTCTGCCTGCATCAGTCATAGATACAAAATATATTCAGAGGCCGGCGCCGTGGCTCAATAGGCTAATCCTCCACCTTGCGGCGCCGGCACACCGGGTTCTAGTCCCGGTCAGGGCGCCGGATTCTGTCCCGGTTGCCCCTCTTCCAGGCCAGCTCTCTGCTGTGGCCAGGGAGTGCAGTGGAGGATGGCCCAGGTGCTTGGGCCCTGCACCCCATGGGAGACCAGGAAAAGCACCTGGATCCTGGCTCCTGCCATCGGATCAGCGCGGTGCGCCGGCTGCAGCGGCGGCCATTGGAGGGTGAACCAACGGCAAAGGAAGACCTTTCTCTCTGTCTCTCTCTCTCACTGTTCACTCTGCCTGTCAAAAAAAAAAAAAAATATATATATATTCAGATACATCTTAAGAAAGGTTTGCTTCCTAAGGAGCAGAAATCAAGAGTGGTAGACTATCATTTTATTTAAGTTTGCCTCTTTCAGAAACATAGGAGATACAGTGTAAGTGCAATCTAGCACATGAGTGTCAGGGCAATGAATGCACCAGGCATCAGGCAGGAAGGGGCTGATCTCCTCAAGAGAACACCGCCTGGCACTAACATGTCGGAGAGCACGTCTCCCACTCAGGCACCCCTGCCGAAGCGCAGAGCCCCCTGCACCAATGCGTATTAACAGAGCGCTCTCATACTCAGGCACTGGCTGCAGATGGAAAGGACACAGGATGGGCGTGTTCTCGATCTGCGAAGCGAAGGCTCCCGGGTGCCGGCCCAGGTCTGCAGAGTCGCAGGGCCCTCGGCAGGCAGTCTGGCCTCTGCAGGGTAGCTTCTTGGGCTGCGCTCTGAGTGGAGAGAGCTTGCCTGCCTTCTGCAGCTCACCACCTCCAGGATTCGGCGCGTTCTGTATTGCACTGGCATGCCGAAAAGGAGACAAAATAAAACCGTTTCAAGTGACAGAAAAGTTAGGTCTTCAAATAACATACACAACATAACTGGATGATGTCTGAAAGCTAATGTATAATTTAACAAAATCAAATCTCAGATTTAAAGAAAAAAACAAACAGAAACAGGTTAGTTTCATTTATGAAGATAAAAACATAATGCTACACATTCACACTCAATTAAATCATTCTCATGTTCTATCAGCCTCAATAACTTTTATCAAGAATTTGGAAATAAATTTTTTTTCTTTCATCTAACAAATTAGGAGATGCTCAGAGCTACAGTCTAAAAACACAAGGCAAAGTCTCCCGCAGGCTGTAACACACTGGAGTCTACCTCGGTCACTCCAGGAGTGTAAGAGAATGTGGATGCCCGGCAACAGAAATGCGTGTTCTCTAGTTTGGCCTTGGTCAAGGGGCTTCAGAAACAGAACAAACCGATCTCAGCGGAAGGAAAACAGAGCTGTAGTGAGCTCAGTGTTTCCAATCAATTAATTAAAGACATGCATGGCTCAAATCCTTATTCTCTCTGAAAGGTAAGTAGGTCAAAAAACAAAAAGGAAACAAAGACTGAACTCAGATGGTCACTCCAAAAAGCTTATATTTCCATCCAATATGGCAACAAAAATACACAAGGTGATAACAGCTCTATACTCAGTCTGTGTACAAGCAACCTGGCCAATGCACTGACTTTTGTCCTCTTGTATGCTAGCACACTTTCCTCTGGACAAACCACCTCTATCCTTCCCTCCACACCACACACTCTGGTTAACTTGCATGGCGTCTTCCCAAGCATCTGTCTTTAAGTACCATTTACTGAAGTCGATCTGTAAAGAATGGTCGACTGTGAGATCTGTCGGACAGGCAGGATGCACTTTCTTAGGGTCACCTCCAAGAGCCTTCACCGCCTCCCTCATAGCAGCAAAGTCCACCATAGCTGGGATTCCACTACAAAACAAAAAATGGTCAAATCATAATATGGTTTTAATTGCTTTTTATATTGTCTAATAAACAACTAACATACACATATTTTTGTAACAAGTATTTACCAAATGCCTTCAATGTGCTAGACACCAATGAAACAAGGCCAAGTACCACATAGCTCTGGCTCTCAAGGAATCTGTAGCGAAGGCATAGCAATGCTTACAGAATAAGTACTGAGATAGTACTATACACCAGGAACCCAGAGCAGGGGCACACAAATCAGATTTGGTGGGCACGTGAAGGGAATGTTCTACCTAACTCTTAGGACCCTTTAAAACTTAGGCCAAGGCTAACTCTTACGGTGATTAATTCCAGGCAGTCTTTCAGGCTATTGTAAAGACTTGGGATTTTCTTTTAAGTCTGATGGAAGCCAACTGGTGCATGGAGGAATGATAAGGCCCGAATAATATTTTTAACTAAGCCACCCCATCTACTATGTAAAAGACAGACTGCAGATTGCAAGTGTGGAATCAAGACTACCAGACTACAGCAGCTGTCGTCCAGATAAGGAAGGGGCTAGGACCGGGTGACAGTGGTAGAGATGGTAGGAAATATTTGAACACAGACACATTTCAAAGGCAGCACTGACAGGATATGCTGACAGAATACGCAGTACTAAGCAAAGAGGAGCCAAGGCTAACTACTAGATTTTTGGCCTAAACCATTGGGAGGCAATGGTGCCGGTCAGTAGGACAGAGGGCTTAGAAAGGAACAGGTGACGTGGGCCGGGCAGTCAAGAAATCAAGTACTGGGTGGGTTGTCTGAGAAACCTATCAGCTATGTGGAGGTAACAAGCAGGCAATTAAGCAAAAATAAATAATAAATGGTTTAAGAATAAATGCTTTAAGGAATACATGTCTAGTTTCTACTGAACTGCTTCACTTTAGAAAGGGAAATTTTTAAAATTCATAAACCCATCTTCAAAATTAAAAAAAAAAAAAAAGCCATCCACCAAGGAGACTGATTTCTAATAAGGGAACAATGAAGATTCACTATGCAAAAAACTATCACTCACGTAAAATCTTGAAGAAGAACACGGGCTGGGAAAAAGGGCACTTCAACATTGCTTTGTTTGGTTTTCCAGTCTAAAATGTTCATAACATCTTCCTTTTTCATTAAAAAGCCATCACAATTTCGTACAGCAGCTTCCAACAGGACCCGTATTGAGTAAGGCAGAACATCTGATCCAAAAGAAAAGATGACTATTAGTGAGAGAACAGTCATACCTACATATTCTAAAAATCACAATAACAAAAAGATGCATTTTTCTCTCAAAAACACTCACTGCTCAGGTGAGTACACCTGGAATCCGACCCCACCCCTTGTAACAGCAGGCCTTCTGTAACTACTTCACCACACGTAAGGCAGAGAAGAAAACCTCCAAGGAACAGACGCTCTGATCTGGACCTATCGGCCTATGATCGTGAAAAATGAACAGCTGACATTCAGGGAAGACACAAAAAAACTGAAAAGCACACAATGTCAACTCAACACAATAATGAAAAAAACTCTTATTGTGGCAAAAAAAATGGTTATGCTGTCTAAATTCCATTAGGACGCTTGGGTGATTAAAATTCATTTCAGGGAACCTCATTCACTCTTGATTACTAGTTTAAGGGTATCAAGGAGACAGATTTTGCTATTTTTAAACTTTTAGTCCTATTTAATTCTCACATCAGATTCTGTCACAGTGTTTCCTCAGTACTTAAAGGGAAGACTGAGGGAATAAATCATGCTAGCTCACATTAAAGGAACGAAGGGTTCTACACACTGATAAGGAGTGATCGCCAGAATTCTGTCCTCAAGGGAAAAGCAGCATGATGGGGCCAGCGCTGTGGCATGGCAGGTAAAGCTGCCACCTGCAGTGCCGGCATCTCACATGGGCGCTGGTTCTAGTCCTGGCTGCTCCACTTCCGATCCAGCTCTCTGCTATGGCCTGGGAAAGCAGTAGATGATGGCCCAAGTCTTTGGGCCCCTGCACCCATGTGGGAGACCCAGAGGAAGCTCCTGGCTCCTGGCTTCAGATTGGCTCAGCTTTGACCACTGCAGCCATTTGGGGAGTGAACCAGCGGATGGAAGACCTCTCTTTCCCTTCCTTCTCTGCCTCTGCCTCTCTGTAACTCTGCCTTTCAAATAAATAAATAAATCTTTTTTAAAAAATCCTGTAAAGGACTTCCTTTATATATTAAAAAAAAATAAATAAAGCAGCATGAGCCATGTTCACAGTAGACCACCTTTCCTCAAGAAAGGAGGTTAAACACACACATGCAAAATAATTAAAGGGGCCAGCGCTGTGGCACAGTGGCACAGTGGTTACATAAAGCCACCACCAGCAGTGCCAGCGTCCCATATGGGCGCCAGTTCAGGTTCTGGCTGCTCTACTTCTGATCCAGCTCCCTGCTATGGCCCTGTGGGGCCTCTCCACCCACACAGAAGACCCAGATGGAGGCTCCAGGCTCCAGGCTCCAGGCTCCTGGCTCCAGGCTCTGGATCGGCCCAGCTCCAGCCATCACGGCAACCTGGGGAGGGAACCAGCAGATGGGAGATCTCTCTCCTCTCTATATACCTCTTAAAGCCGCCTTTCAAATAAATGAATAAATCTTTAAAAATAATAACAAAACATAAATTTAAAGTATACATTTACAGTGTTTTTTCCCAAGAGAACAATGCAAGGCTGATCTGAAGAACCCAGCATGTGTCCCACACAGCACTTCCGACTGGGCTCCTCAGTGAGATATACACTAAGGAAAAGAAGAAAGACTGAGAAAACAAACCACATAAAGTCGTTAGCACTGTTATTGTCCTATACGGTATAAGAAAGCAAGTAAGTATTTTTGTTACTATGGTTGGAGACAAGGGTTTCCTGAGGAATGATACACATGTACAAAATCAGAGTAGCTACGTTTAAAAAATTAACAATTTCAGTTTTTTCAATTGAAAACAAGGGTATGAACTCATGCTTTATTCTTCTCTTTCTAAAAACACACGTATTTCCTAGTTCTATCCACTGAACACACCCAAAACAATGACAACCTAACAGTAACAAACTCCTAGGGAAATCAGTTTATTGTTTGTAAATACTATTTCTCATCTAAAAAAGTCAAAAAGCTCTCAGGAGAAACGGCCAATTTCTATGTCTGGAGAAGAATGATACACAAATGAGCCCAGGACATCCTCTCTCAGTTACCAAAGACTAATGGGGACACTGCTGGGTCAAGGTGAGCATCCGCGACTGCTGACTGCAATTCACCGACACCCGTCAGACAGATTAACAGCCCTGAGTTCACACTGACTCTTAAAAACCCCTGCAACCATCACCAGTGAAGCTGCTAGGGCAACTTCCGAAAGGTGACAAAGTGAAAAATCATTACTGTCCTTTCCTGCTTTCAAATCACCAAGTAGTTAACTCAAAGTTCTTTGTTACAGATGAGCTAATAAAAATTCTAATAAACTTAGAATGTTATAATTAGAAAAACCACCAATGAGCAGCACCCTGTGAATGGATCTGGACAATGATCAGAGTACTACCATCAGAAGGTTCTGTGTGCATGGGGAACAGGTGAGGGCCATCAGGCTGCTAACAACCAGACTCACTGCCATCAGAGTGAGATACCATTCGTCTCCTCACACAACAGAAACAAGCAGCAACAAGGCCAGGGCCAGGGCACCTTTGTTCCACCAAGGGCCACTGGGTATTTGTGACATCGTTCACAGGCCAGCCATACAGCCTGCTATAGAGTTAGTGAATTCCAGGTCTCAGCTGCAGTTGCCTTGGGAGAACCAGGCGTTCGCCATCCTGGATTAGGACATGTTCTTGCAAAAGTAAACAAACAGTGCCCTTAAATACCGTGAGTCTCATCAAGACAGCAGCCTCAACCTTCAGTTACCAGGAGGTCTGAGGGAGCGTGGAACGCAGTGAAACCAGAAAGCAGCAACCTGCGAGACGCAGGACAGACATCCAGCGTCCCCAGCACGGGAGCAGCGGGGGGAGGAGGAGGACTGCTGGAGACCGAGACTTCACTCAGCCAGACGCGAGGTGTGCGCCCCGTATTTGGATATCAGCTGATCAAACCAAATTAATAATTACACTTTTGAGGCAGAGAAATTTAAATTGGACCAGGTTTTAGACTTTAGTAAGGAATGACTATTTTCTTAGTGTAAGAAGGACACTATGATTCTGTCGGTCCTTTTAGACACCAGCTATGATATAGGACAATATTTTCAGTTAAGAAAATGCAGGAATATTTGAAAAACACTAATGAAATGATGATACCTGGCTGATAAATACATAATGCATTATACTATTCTCTCCCTACATTTTTTTTTTTCATTAAGAAAGTATTTACTGGGGCTGACACAATGGCGTCGCAGGTAAAGCCGCCGCCTGCAGTGGCGGCATCCCATATGGGAGCTGGTTCGAGTCCCAGCTGCTCCGCTTCTGATCCAGCTCTCTGCTGTGGCCTGGGAAAGCAGTGGAAGATGCCCCAAGTCCTTGGGCTCCAGCACCCGCATGGCAGACTAGGAAGAAGCTCTGGCTCCTGGCATCTGATCCACACAGCTCCAGCTGTTGCAGCCATTTGGGGAGTGAACTAGTGGGGAGAAGATCTCTCTATCACTCTCTCTTTGCCTCTGCCTCTGTAACTCTGCCTTTCAAATAAATAAATCTTAAAAAAAAAAAAAAAAAAATTTACTGACTCTTCGAGACTGTTCCAGCACGGAGAGAACTAATCAGACGTGGCATCTGTCCTGAGAGGTTCAGACCACAGAACACAAACAGAAGTGTACAAACAGCAGCAGGCACTGCAAGGGACGTGAGGAGGATTCGGCAGCAAAGACGACGCGGACTTCCTTGGTTGCAGTAAGCAGTGAGGCCATCTCTCAGAAAGTGGGATGGCCTTTTTTAAAACAAAACAAAATCCCCTTTTTTTTAAAGATTCAGAGCCCTTATGGGATACCTGCACTGCAGCCGGCGGCTTTACCCACATGCCACAGCGTAGGCCCCAAGAAAACCAATTTTTTAAAATTAATTAATTTATTTATTTGGAAGTCAGAGTTATACAGAGAGAGAAGAAGCTGCTTCACTCCTTAACTGGCCACGATGGCCAGAGCTGCGCCAATCCGAAGCCAAGAGCTTCTTCCAGGTCTCCCTCGTGGGTGCAGGGGCCCAAGGACGTGGGCCATCTTCTACTGCTTTCCCAGCCCACAGCAGAGAGCCGGATCAGAAGTGGAGCAGCCAGGTTGCCGGCACTGCTGGAGGCGGATTTACCCACTACACTATAAGTGCTGGCCCCAAAAAATTTTTAACAGACCATTTGGAAATAACAAGAAGGAAAATATATCATCGAAGGTAATACACAAGATTAACCTTTTAATTTGGTTAATCAGTCTACAAAAACAATCTCAGAAATACTTTTTAAGAATTCCATTAAATACTTAGCTAAACATGGTAAACACAGCACTTACCTCTGCTCCCTCCTGAATCCCACTAAGACAAGAGATGAAAAATATCAACACTATAAACCCACAAGGAGAAGCAAAACCAACAAAATCCAGGAAAACAGAAAGTGCGCAGGTGAGTGCTAACCCGTGGCACTCTGAAACTAAAATGCCAACACCAAGAGGAGGAACTGGGATTCCCTGGATTTCGCAGGAGCATCAGAAACTAGAGGACAGAGGCCGGCATTGTGGCACAGTGAGCTAGCAGCTGCCTGCAATGCAGGCATCCCATACCAGAGCACCACTTCAAGTCTCAGCTGCTCTGCTTCCAACCCGGCTCCCTGCTGATGCACCTGGGAAGGCAGTGGAAGCTGGCCCAGGTGTTTGGGAGACTCAGATGGAGTGCTGGGTTCCTGGCTCTGGCCTGGAATAGCCTTGGTTGTGGCAGCCATTTGGGGAGTAAACCAATGGATAGAAGATGGATGGACTGATCTCTCCCTCTCACTAAAAGAAAAGGGAAACTAAAGGACAATGGAACAAAGTGTTCCAAGTTCCAAGTGAAAATAATTTCCAGCCTAGAAATTTACACTTAGGCAAACTTTCACTTAATTATGCAAGGTATCAAAAATCTATTTCCCAGGCACCCTTTCTTAGGAAGCTGCTGGAAGATGTGCCATATAAAACAAGAGCAGAAAATTAGAAAACCATGAAATCTAGAACAGTGTTCAGCACAGGAGCAAGAGCC